GTGTGCTAATAAAACTTGTGGCTGAGACAATGTTGGGAGGAATTGCCAATGTGGAGGAGGGCTGGAATATGATACAAGAAGAGCTGGATGATCTTGAAAACTGGAGTAATAGAAATTGGATGAAATTTAATAGTGCAAGGTCATGCACTTAGGGACTAACAACAAGAATTTTTGCTATAAGTTGGACACGTGTCATTTAGAAGTGCCAGAGGAGAAAGAGCTGGATGGACTGGTCAACCACAGGATGACCATGAGCCATCACTGTGATGTGGGCCATGGAAAAGGCTAATAATAAAATCCTAGGATTCATCAGGTGAGGTATTTCCAGTAGAGGTAGGAAAGTGTTATTACCATTCTAAAAGGTCCTGGTGAGATCTCATCCACAATACTATGTGGAGTTCTGGTGTCTCATGTTTAAGAAAGATGAATTCAAACTGGAACAGGTGGCAGAGGAGGGTAAGTAGGGTGATCAGAGGAATGGAGGACCTACCTTACCAGAGGAGACAGATGGAGCTTGGCTTATTTAGCCTAACCAAATAAAGGTTGAGGGGAGATATTACTCTCTATAAAAACATCAGAGGGATAAACACCAGGGAGGAAGAGGAGTTCTTTAAGTTAAGTGCCAATGCTGGCACAAAAACAAATGGATATAAACTGGCCATCAACAAGTTTAGGCTTGAAATTAGACGTCGGTTTCTAAATATCAGAGGAGTGAAGTTCTGGAATAGCCTTCCAAGGGGAGCAGTAGGGGTCAAAAACCTAACTAGCTTCAAGACTGAGGTTGATGAGTTTATGGAAGGGAGGGGTATGATGACACTACCTACAATGGCATGTGGCCCATCTGCGAATGCTAGTAGCAAATATCTCCAACAGCCAGAGATCAGCTGCTAGATGGGGATCTCTGAGTTACTACAGTGAATTCTTTCCCATGTGTCAGGCCGGTGGGTGTCGCTGACCTGCTCCAGGTCTGACTAATCTCCATATTTGGGATTGGGAAGGAATTTTCTCAGGTCAAATGGGCAGAGACCCTGGTTGTTTTTTTCCTGCCTTCCTCTGCATTGTAGGGCATAGGTCACTTGCTGGTTTGAACTGGAGTAAATGGTGGATTTTCTGTTCCTTGAAGTCTTTAAATCATGATTTGAGGACTTCAGTAACTCCTCCAGAGGTTAGCGGTCTATTAAAGAGTGGGTGGGTGAGGGTCTGTGGCCTGAGATGTGCAGAAGGTCAGACTAGATGATCAGGATGGTCCCTTCTGACGTTAAAGTCTAGTAGCCTATTTCTGTAGTTTTCACTCTGCTTACCCCAAGACTCCTGGCAGTCCAAACAAAAGCAATGTCTGCCAGAGCTCTGAGCAGCTTAGCAAGCTCCCCTCAGCCAGTTTAATCGGCTTTCCTCCCAGTGGTATCAAGAGGAATTATTATTGTAACATTAGAGAGGAAATTAGTATAATCATTCCAGTCAAAAAGGCATTTGAAATGTTCATACCTGATCTACTGCTGGTTGGTTCATACTCCAGGAGTCACTGGGCCTCCCCCAACTGTAGAAATGGGATCATCCCTCCCTCCCAGGGGTGCTGTGAGCCTTACTTAAAGTGTTTTAAAAGCCTCAGATGGAGGGGGACAATATTAGTGCAAAGTGTTATTTCTTTTCATGTATGTGGGGGTATAGTGAGAGGAAATGGTGCAAGGTTCTGCAATTGGATCCAAGGGAGCAACTGGATCCAATTGCCCCTGGGTCATGAGGCTAGGAGTCTGCCCACACACATCAATTGCAGCCAGCTTCCATCAGCCACTGCCTTGAGTGTTAGACTGCTGGGAGAGGAAACTGTCCCCTTAATCACTGTAAAATCCACATTTATGGTTAATTCTCTGGGATAGATCTGCTGTTAGTAACTTTTAAGCACATGAGGGTCCCGGAGAGATTTAAGGAATGCAGAATGTCGTCCCCTCCCACCCCCCACTCCTGGTGTCCCCTTTGCCCTCACATCTGCTAAAAGAATGAAAGGGACACTGACAACTTGAAAAGAGAAAAAAAAATTTCTACCTGTAACCTTTTTTGTTTCTCCCCCTAGTTTAAGTTAACAACTAAACTTAACTGAAAGGAGTCAGCAAAGAAGACATTCTTCTTTTTCAGCTTATGTACTTTGTGCACTGGTACAGGCAGCTTCCCCCTACCTGAAGAGTCCTTTATAAACATCTAAAGGGAAGAAAAGAAAAACTAACCCCTCTCCCGGCATTCTTTTTAAAAGGAATTTTAAAAAGGCATATTCCTTAAAGGTCCCCTCTATCAGAAAGTACTTCCCTTCTAAATTAGTTTTAAAACATTCATATTGACCATGTCCCTTGAAGACAGTCTTTTAAGAACAGGAAAAAAAAATTGAAGGCAAAGGTCCATCTTCCTATTAGCTTTTCACAATCCCTCATCTTCTAGTTCACCCTTCCCTCTATTTTGTCCTTTATTATATGGTGATGCAAGCATCGCTTTGAGAGGGGTGAGTTACAGGTTCTTTCAGTGAAAGTCTTGAAAGTTTTCTAGAAGAGTCAAATGTATTTTTCTCTAGATAAAAGGCTTAAGATCTCCCCTTTTGCACCCCAAGGACACCCATTACAAAGTGAAGGATGCACTGATGGTGAGTGCCCATGCTGGGTGTCTCTCATCTCTCAGAAGTAGTTAATTTTTCTCTCACACTTTGTTTCAGCCTCTGTGGCCTACCTAAAATGACTACTCCTATACAGCTGGCACCGAAGGGCTGTGCATCAAGCAACTGAAACTAAAACAGCCAAAGAGCAGCTGTGAATGAAAATGCCACACTTATCCACCAAGAAGCCTGCTGAATCTTCAGTAACAGCCCCTCAGCATTAGCCCCTCAGTTTAGGCTTTGTAGTGTTGAACTTCACTGCCTAAGTGCATTTTAGTACTATGTGCACTACACTAGGAGGAAAGAAAACTCTTCAGAGGGCTTGGATTTCCACTCATTTAAATCCACTATCCAGCTCTTCAGTGGACTTTAGTTCTCTTCATCCCGTTCCCCATCAATGTCCGTTGCACCTAGAACTGAATCTGCATTTGTCACCTCCAAACTGCTGTAGTTTCTGTTTGAATCATTAAACTCTGTGACTTTCCCTGGAACTAAGAGTTGAATTGAGTTTCTCATTAAATCCTCTCCCCCCCACCCATTGAAGAACAAACTAATTTCTGAGCTGCACAAAAGCCCAGACAGATCCACACAGGTATTTAGGCTACTAATTTCCCTTGAGTTCAAAGAGACAAGATAGGTGAGGTAATATCTTTCAGTAGGCCAACTTCTGTTGGTTAAAGAGACTCGAAAGGCCATGTCTACATTATCACTTATGTTGGCAAAACTTATGTCGTACGGGGGGGGGGTGTGTTAAAAAACCACCCCTCTGAGCGACATAAGTTTCGGCAGCATAAGTGGCAGTGTGCACAATGCTATGTCGGTGTATAGCTACCGCCTCTTGATGGGGGGGCTTTAATTATGTCAAAAGGAGAGCTCTTCTCTCCTGTTGGCATAGACAGCACATGAGAGATCTTACAACAGTGCAGCTGCATCGGTATAGCTGTGCCACTGTAAGGTCTCTAGTATAGACATAGCCTTTCTCAGAGCTCTTCTTTAGGCCTGAAGAAGCTTGTCTCTTTCACCAACAGAAGTTGGTCCAATAAAAGATATTACTTCACCCACCTTGTCTTTCATATCCTGGGACCAACACGGCTATGTTACCTCAGCAAATATTGATTTTAAATGAAAATTAGGAGCAGATCTGGGCAAATAATTGAATCTAAACAAGAGAGGGGGGAAGAAGGGAGGTAAATCCCTGATTGTTTGGATAGCAATCTGGTTCCCAAGTATTCCTTTTTAAAGAGGTGGGTGGACTACAGCCCGCAGGCCACATCCGGGCCACAGGACCCTCCTGCCCGGCCCCTGAGCTCCTGACCCAGGAGGCTAGCCGCTAGCCTCTCCCCTGCTGTTCCCCCTCCTCCGCAGCCTCAGCTCACTGCGCCACTCGCGCAATGCTCTGGGCAGCGGGGCTAGAGCCACGACCGGGTGCTCTGTGCTGCGCGGTGGAGTGGCTGGCTCCAACAGGGTGATGTGGCTGCCTATCCTAGTGCTCTGGGCAGTGCAGCTGTAGCACCGCCAGCCACCGGTAAGGGGGGAGAGAGCAGGGGGGTTGGATAGAGGGCTGGGGAGTTTGGGGTGGTAGTCAGAGGGCAGGGAACGGGGGGGGGGCAGTCAGGAAGGAGGTGGGGTTGGATGGGGTGGCGGGGGGCAGTCAGGGGACAGGGAGAAGGGGTGGTTGGATGGGGCAGGGGTCCTGGGGAGGAATGAGAGGAGGGGTGGCGGGGGGCAGTCGAGGGGACAGGGAGAAGGGGTGGTTGGAGTGGGGCAGGGGTCCTGGGGGAGGAATGAGAGGGAGGGGTAACGGGGCGAGGTCAGGGGATAGGGAACAGGGAGGGTTGGAGTGGGGCAGGAGTCCCAGGGGTGAGAGCAGGGGGTCGATGGGGCGGGACCAGGTCAGCCTGGCTAGTTGGGAGACAGCTCGCTAGCTGGCCTCCGTACAATTTCAGAA